AAATGGAGCAATTTAGAAAAGAGATTGAAGTAGGGTCTCAATTTTATCACAGTGGAACAACAAAACACAGCTTGGAAATTTCGGAGTTTAGAAACAGCAGAAAGAGTTTGATTTTCAACTTTCGGTTGCTCCGTACGGAAATTAAACATTTTTTAGACACCCAAGCACAAAGTAAGTATCTCTGAATTTACCGTAACAAAATACCCCAAGCTTGTGCAAAGAAAAGCTTTTTTATTGGAAAGATTTTACAGGTACACCTCTCATCAAAGCTCAATTTTCATGTTTTCATAATCATGAACATTGTTCAGAAATAGAAGAAACTCGAAAGTTTTTTTGCAATTCATATCTTATTTACAATTCCTTGATAAATTTTCTATTATATCCACTTGACCTATCGGCTTAAAACTTTCTGTTACTTGTTACAGCTATTTGATTTTTTTTAATTAAAAAACTTTGGCGGCTGTACGGCCTTTTTTGGCGATGGGTGCAATACTTTCGGACCATAAGTGTAAAACCTCAAGAAAGTTTCTGGGCATAACTCCTTATGAATGTATGAAGAAAGTTTCATACATTTGGAAAATAAAATATTGCTTGATTGTTCTCAACAACGTATTCCGAGATGGCACATCCTTCATGCTTTGATTTATGATGCTTCTGAAAATTGTCAGTGTTCCAAAGGCTCCGACGCTGTATGGAAAGTGAGGGGAGGGGCGGGTCAAAGGAAAATTTAGCAATCGCTACAAAAGATTTTGAAAAAGCTCATAAATAAACACAGGAAATAAACAAATAAACACAGGGCATGCCCCCCACTTTTGCAAAAGTGGGGGGGGGGCATGCCCTGTGTTTATTTCTTTTTTGCATCAAACACACTTTACTTTCCGTCTATACTTTCGCTGTCGATCAATACTACAGACTCTACTTCCGCATCTCAAGGCGAAGATAAACATGTCCAATTGATGGGGTTTTTTTTTCTGGTCTTTCCAACTTAATATAGAACATCTGTGCCAAATTACAGCTTTATATTATTTTTATCCGGGTTAGACCGTTTTTATATCTAATTCCACTACACTAGTATGTCTTTTCCGAAAGAAACCTTCGTTCATTTTGACCCTTGTCTAAAAAGGCTCCACGCTTTTTGCTTAATTTCTAAAACCTTTGGGCGGATTCTGTTCTTAAACTTTTAAACATTGTTTTTCCTAAACAGGCACGAAGCCAGCACTGAAAAGGTGGGCCGGCCAAAAGGTTTTTTTGGAGGGATAAGTTTTTGTTCAACGGATTTCATAAAAATCCTGATATTTAAGCAAAATTACTTCAAAAATTTGTTTCAAAAATTGGACGAAAAATTTCTTCAAATTTCTCTTTTGCTTAACTTATTTGAATTGATGACCTTGTATTTGTAGTCATAGTAATTTATCACCTCTCGCACATTCGATTATTTATGATTCCTTTTGTTATCTAATTGCACCTTTAGATTCATTAGTTATTTCTTTTGGGATTTTAGTATCATTATTCGATTTATCTAATTAGTCTATGGAGTAGTATCTCTTCTATTCACTATTACCATGTAAATACGTAACTATGTATGTATTTCAATTACACTCATTTTTTTTATACGAAACTGACTATAAAAAGCGAGTACTGGACAGTCAGAAAAAATTAAGAAACTTCAGTTCTTGAGGCGAAAAAATTAAGAGACTATTAAATCGTGATAAAACTGAGAACAACAAAATTTTGTAAAATCCAAGAACATGATTGTCCTGTTGGCCTAGAAATTAAGACACAAGGAGTAAAAATATACTTCCAACGTCTAAATAAAGCGTCAAAATGGAAGCGAATTTCTTGACATGAAAAAAGGGTCACGAAAATTTCATAACATCATTCATGACATCATAATTAAGAAACTCTTAAGAAACAGTGAGTATTGAAATATCGACCTTTGTTTCATATTAAAAAAATGAGTGTAGTTCTTGTTTATGTTATATTTTTGGGCGTGTTATAATAACACTGTTATTTGGCAGGATTAGTTGGAGTTATGGTTGAGAGCGATAAGGTTAAAATTTGATTATATGTTTTATTAGGTTCTCGACGATTTACTTATATTATGTGGCAAGATGCTTGTGAAAGATCTTGTCGACATGAACGGTTTTTGTAGGATACGTATTGTTATTTATGGAATCGCGCGTGACAATTGGGATAATTGTAAACGATTTGATGTGTTTGCGAGGACAGTGCTTGTAAAAGACTGTGCCTGATTTTACGAGAACGATTCGACGTTACGGGACAACCGTGAAGAAAAATAGAACACTATGATTAACCTTAAGGCCAATCTCCATTAGGCGAAATTGTTTCGCTTTTGAGCTGACGAAAAGCGAAAACTACATGGCGCACAATCTCCAGCTCACGCGTGCCGAATAGAAAGCAAAATGTTGCGGGCCAAGCATTTCAAGGTGTCGGATGAGAATCCAAATATTCTGATTTTGCTTTATTTGTTGAAGCATAAGAAACAAAGAAACCAAAAGCAAATAAAAGGTTTTGGATACGTAAATTCTACCAAGAGCAAGAAAGCAAAGGAGCTTACAGAAGTCTGATTATACACTCTCTTTTTTTATAAGAACCACTAAATTTAAGTTCAGGCTGACTGTTCTTAATTTTTACGAAAATCGAGAATCGATTCTGCTGAGAACTGGGAGGGGGGGACGTGTCCCCCCAGTCACCCCCGTGGCGCCGCTACTGCGGAGGAGATTCCATTGGCCTCTTTTCCATTCATTATTTTAAGTTGGTGTGTACAAAATAGCTACAAAAAGGCTAATTAAAACCAGTGAACTAAACTAAAACAGCATAACACTGTTTGAATTTGACAAATCAGTTTACGGGCCATAGGTACGGGCACATACCTCTCCTTGACTGAGAATGGAACTTTTCATTTTTAAACGCATTTTAACCACTTTCTCTCAGATTCTTAGAAAATCCTTCCAAGTTCCTTCTAATTGAAATTCTTTCTTTTTTCCTTCCAATCGGCCAAAATTCCCGAAAAGGAATAAATCCTCCCAAGCTGAAGCACTGGGGTACAGTACTGCTTTTTGCCTACAAAAGGGCTCCACACTCAAAAGTGACTCATTTCTTTTGAGTGCGGTCTTAGGAAAAGTAATTTTATATGCTGCTTTTATGGTTCTTTTTTTCAATATTCCGATTTCTAAAATTTCAATTTGAAGTATTTCTAGTGCCATACTTTGAACGTCAAGCAGCTACAGAAATCAAAGTTAAAAAAATATTTAAATAACACTACAGGGTGAGAAAAAATTATGTGCCGATGGACAAAGTATGGGGGAAAATGCCCTCCATTAGGGACGCCACTGGCGGGCAATGCTGAGTTAAGGTCGGCTTGTTATCGGAAGCGAAGCTTTTGTTTAACTGAGAGAAACAACGGAGCTCGTTGCTTGTTATATGAAAGCAAGAACTTAGGTAACGGTATTGAAGAACTCTCAAAAATTGATACAGATTCTCGCAATCTCTTGCAATTGGTACATGATTTGATACAGATTTATCATCTTGCACCAGATAAAGAATTTTTGTTATGTAATGAAGTTTTTGTAGAGTATTTGTAATATTCCTTCACTGGCGATTGGAAACGCAAACATCTGAAGGGGGGCTTGTTTTCTATTACGTATTTGACAGAATAAATCAAAGAATAAACTATAAAAGGGAACTAAGCCATAATGGTAGGTGCAATGGAGCCTTATCATATTTAAAAAGTCAACAAACTGCACTGACGTCTAAGATTGGCGTTCAAAATGAAGAAATTTCGAGTTTCTTTTCGCAGCTTGGTATCTCTGTTGGGAGCATCTACCTTGCTGAGTGCTGATACAAGCACTCAACGCAGGCTGAAGCATATCAGCAGCTGAATCGACTCGAATGCACAGATGCACAGATTTTGTTGAGAGCGACTATTTTCGAAATGAAGGCGCTGTGTTTTTAGACATCAAATGTTTTCATCCTAAAATTTGTAGACGGGCAGAGAGGGGCAAAAATTTATAGTTGGGTATTACTCGTGCCCCCCTCCCCCCTTGGCTTCGTGCCTGTTCTCGTGCTAGTTGTAATATTTGGAATTTTTTAGAAAAAGCTTTAGGTGAGCCTTTTTCAATAGATCCAATAGCCTATAGATTGCAATGGAACACGATTTGTGACAACAATAGTGGACATTTTGATGTCTGTTCTTTATGTAATCTCTACCCCCTACATCCAAAACAGCTCGCTTGAAGGTGTAGTCTAATTTGAATATCCGAAGACTAACTTCAGAAATAAACACTTAACGAGACATTTAGGTATTATTAATTCAATGTTATCTTAGTTTACTATCAAGTTCCATTACAGAAACAATTCATTAATATTTACAATTACAGCCATCCCTAGTACTGCACGGTATTTTAACATTGCTAGCTTTACAGGAAGCATTTTTGATAATGCCTTCTTACTGTATTTACATAATGATACGTGAATCATGAATTGAAAACATGGTGGGCAGATGTTGTGAAAAATGTCTACTTGAAACTAAATATTGAAATTTTTAACGTTCTCCAAAAGATTAAAGTTCACTTAGCATTCGGAAGATTTTGCCTTTTTCAGTCTGCATATTTAACAAGAAATTTTTAATATTTCATCCTAGAGTCATTTTCTAGTGTTTTTTACAAGTAAAAATCGCAAGTCGCCTGCAGAAAATTCTTTGTTGATAAAAATTTGTAATCAAGCACCAAACTTGCAACATTGACATTCCCTTTATCGATATTGGTAAAAACTTCCCCATGCCGAATGTTAAAATGGTTTTGAATTAATATTTTCTACCAAGTAATGTTTACAATTACATCAGCTATGCATATTTAAAGAAATCTAGGTTGCAATGGCTGGGAGAGGGAAACGGGGTTTTTAACCCTTCCCGTTGACATCGAATTGGTTTTATCACAGTCCCTAAACTGCGTAATGGCCAAGTTTTAAGTAATTTTTTTAATTATTTTAACTTTTAGTGTTCAAGCTCTCTTGAGAAGAAGGCGAATATTGCAAGGCCGCGAAGACCAGACAAAATTTCAGGTACTTGTTTTTTATTTTAAATCGCGCAAAAGGACATTTTTGATAGACCTTAACCTGACCGTTGATAAAAACTTCTTTGAATTACTTTGCCGACCTAACTACTGTAATCCAGAAATGATTTTCTCTTGATCTACAAATCTGATTGTCTCAATAGATTTATTAACAAAATTTGCCGAAAATTGCAGCACATGATTGGAAAAGAAGCCAATTTCAATTAAAGTTTGCTCAGTACAAATAGCGATATTACGCAGATGCTTTGTTTGGCGCGAAAGAAAATCTCATAAACTTTGTTTCGAGATAAAAAAAATTATATTTGGAAATATGCGTTTTAAGGCGTTGGAATGCGTTGATATTGCAATGAACTGTGTAATGATGCAATTGAAAAATTCGCCTACTTGGTAAAACTATTTACACATTGAATCAGTGTACTTCTCCTGTAAACATGTTTTGACAATTATGTCTGACGAATTTTTTGTCATCAGTAATTGAGATTATACTCATCGCAATGGTTATACGCAAGAGCTGTTTAGATGATTCTCAAAAGTGCACTGAGAGCTATTTTTCGGCACCTACAGCCTCGCACAGATGGTGTTAACAATTTTCACCTTCTCTGAGCACCCGGCGGGTCCAATTTTACCCCGTTCAGGCGGGAAACTCGGCAATTTCCGTTTACATGAGTTGACCGGGAAACCCGGCTGAGCGAGATCTCGCCTCTTTTTGCGGGATCCCGCCTGGCCGATTTTCCCGGCTGTTCATGTAAACGGTGAAATAAAATACTATTGATTTTCTACACATGCCGGAAAACTCGGGGAAACTTGGCTAGCCGGGAAAGTCGATTAGCCGGGAAACTCGGTTAGCCGGGAAACTCGGTTAGCCGGGAACTCGGTTAGCCGGGAAACTCGGTTAGCCGGGAAACTCGGTTAGCCGGGAAACTCGGTTAGCTGGGAAAGTCGCTTCAATGTAAACAGGCCCTTTAGTAGTGGCTTGTTAAAGCACTTCAGGTCGATTGACTGGTACACTTCACTAGAGCCTTGTGTATCCAAATAAATTTTTTTCACTGGAAAATTGCAATTTTGGTTTTCTTACGAGCAGAAATTAGATTCCTTCGGGAAAGCAAACATGATATTTCTTGTGCAAGCGACGAAAAGATGTGTAGCATGTTGGCTTTTTGTCTTCTGCTATTTTCAAAAAACAGATTTCCTCTCTCGGACATTTGCTATTTTTTTCTTAAAAGCGACAAAATTGTTGGCAATGTTGTGGTTCTCTATGAGGATTGATAGGGCACGGATCCGGTTTTAAAAATAACTATTCAGCCGTTTTACATCATTTGTGTCTCAGGTCTTCTGAGAATTAGAACAGAACATGCGAATCTATCTAGCGAGAACTACCTAATTTTTAATTGATACTGCCATTCACTTGCTTCCTAAACTTGTAGAATCAATATAAAGCAAATCCTATACACATTACAAACTAAAAATTCATAAATTTGATTTCAACTATTAAATATTACATTTTATTACTACCTAAACATGTCCCTCTGTAAATCTAGTCCCTTTTGTTATTCACGTAACGTTTTTAATTACTCGTTCCACCATACCTGTTTAGATTTGTGTCGAAATCCTTCTTGACCATAAGTTCATCATCATCGCTATCATTTTCAAGAGAAACGAAATCCCAGGCCGTCTTGTTCTCAAAGATTCGGGTAACCGACAATAGAACACTCGATACGACAGATAGACCAACAGTTATGTATATGAATGTGACCAAGACAAACAGGGCAACATGATAATGCTGTGACTCGTCGTGGCCGAACTTTTCAGAGGGATGCGATGGTACGAGATCGCCGAAACCAATGGTCGATAGCGTAATGAATGCAAAATAGATACCCTCGAAAAAGGACCAGCCTTCGTAGCAGACTGCTAGAGCAGCAAGAACAATAATCATAATAATCATAATGGTAAAGAGCAGAATGCTTGTACGAACGTTCGTTGAGTGGACATCTCTGTGTAGAAAACGCTTGTCAAAGGCACGAAAAATCGAGTCTATACCGTCCATAAGTCGCTCGCCTATTGACTTGAGCATCAGCCCTGTCAATGGTATTCCAAAAAATGCGTAGAATATACAGAATAGTTGTCCACCAACAGTTTTGGGCGTCATATGACCGTATCCTAGGGTAATAATGAAAATAATGATTAATATTGGGATGTACAAAACGATCCATTCTAATTAATTACAGACACAGAAATCAATAAAAGCAAATGTCAATTTAAAGGGAGGCATTTTGCGATATTCGGTCTTTGGAGTCTTAGCTGCCCCCCCCATGCATAAGCCTAATTTCGGCGCCTTTCATTCAATTATGCATAAAATAATACATGAAGATTACGCAATATTGTCAAATAGAGAAAATGAATGCTTCTTGAAAGATATTTCGTTGATATCTCAACTAAATCAGTGCTACTGTTACTATTCTCTGGTTTTTTCCACTAAAAAGGGCATAATTTGCATCAAAAAATAATTTTTTTTTCGCTTATTGATGTAGCAGAAGAAGCGAAACCCGTCTTCTTTCACTCATTGCCTTTTGACGCCAGTTTGGAATACTCTACTACCCTATCACCTTCGAAGAATAACAGCGAAAAGCCAAAAAGAATAACAATTTTGGTCATTCCCAGATATTTCCAGATACTTCCAGATATTTCCAGATACTTTCAGGTATTCCCAGATACTTCCAGAACCAAAGCACTAATTTCTAACATATGATATATAGATTCATATGTAAGTACTAGGCATTTCAAAACAAAACACGGAGGCTGGCTCATTGTGTGACGTCCACAAAATTCTGCCAATGTTTTTTGAAGAAATTTAGGTCTCTTTACAATCAAAAATGAAATCTCCTAAGTAATAACACTTACATGAAATTGCACTTCTTAAGAAGCAAGGACTATCATATTTTTTTACTTTAATTTTTTTAAAATTTAGCAGTAACATTGGCCAACATTCTAGACACATGTGCTACATAATTCTTGTTTGAAATTTGCTTGGAACTTTGATGACTTTCTCTTGATAACGCAGTAAGGTATTCAATTGCAGTGTCTTATAGATATGAATGAGATTTTTGAACAGTAGAGCACCAACAGTCACTTTTGTCTCAAGTAATAAATAACAAAGACTTAAAGAAATTCTCTATAGTAACTCGAACGGTTTTTTAGCTATTTGAATGAGGTACTTGAGGACAGTGAATCTATTTTAAATCTGGTCAAATACTGCTGGTGGCAAATCAAATATACGGACGTGCTTGCACCTATTCACATCTTTTGGATGCATTTATTTGTCATAGAACTGATTTCGATGTTTGATCTTATATAACCTAAATAACGAAAGAAATGTAAATAAATGCTGTTGCTTGCACAAACTTTCTACTTCTGTGCTTATTTTATACGCCACCCGCAACTGACTGCCTCCGAATAACAAGCCAATTGTCTTGTTTTCAATATCATTGAATAAATTCCAAATGATATCAGAATGTCATTGGCTACTAGGCATTCAGCGTCTTGTTTTGAAACAAACTATCTTTGAGTTTCAAACTTTGATTCATTCATTAAAGGACATTATTTTACAATATCAACCTCCCCTCCTCACAGCCCCCCCCCCACCCCCCTTATGAATTTCCTTCCGACAGCACCGATATATTACAAGCAACAACATAATCCACATTTATCATAAAGCCATTTCTAAAAGTTGGGCCATTATCGTTCAAGACAGCAGCTTGTTCAAAAGCACAGTTCCCCTGCTCACTTCATCCATGCTCACAAGACAGCAGCTTCTCGAACATGATTCATAAAAGTTTGAATGGAAAGGCAGTTTCATTCATTAACATGAATCAGATACAGCGGCATAAAGGTTCAATGTTTCCTTATTTTTCGCTAATCGTCACACATTTATCTTCCAATATTAGATGATATGGAACAAAACGTTATAAATGTCCTGTTGCCATGGCTGCCTTTAAGTTATCTGCTCTGTCTTATCATTTTCAGATAGAAATCTCTTTACACCTGACGCTATTTATCAAAAAAGGAGAGAAAATCCTTTAGAATCCGAAAGAGAATCGCTGATCTAATAGAGGATATGACACTCAACCCCGCTTATCACCATTTCAGCTTCTAATCCATCTCTACACCTGTGTCACATGGAAAAAATTTTTGAAGGGAAATTTTTTCTTCTTCGATTCTAAATGCACATGTGGCTTTGTCAATCCAGCCTGAGAAAGGGTATTTTTCCTCTCTAATACATTAATTAAAGCAGAGAAAAAGGAACGAAAAAAACTAGAGGCTCAATCTTCTGGATTAAAAAGTAAAACTGTTGTCGTCATAATAATCTTCCTTTTACAACTTTTAATTTGGTCCTTACAAACTAAAAACTATAGAAAACCAATATATTTGCGAAAATACAAAACAGATTATCGTTATATCAGTGCGAGTCCTAGAGTCTTCTCAAGCGATCTCAAGTGTTTCCATTCTTGACTTCGCTTGTACATTTTAGAACCAAGAACGATATGCAGTGATTTAAAAGGGAAGTGGCCAGATCTTAGAAACATTTCGAATAGTTGTAATTGCTTTTTGCATTTCACATTTCCGAAGTGTTTTTTAGACTACATGGTCTGACTTCAAAAATTCTAAGAGTATTTAGATATGAAGTCATTAATTTTCTACTCTTTAGTTGAAGACAAAATGATAATGGTCTCTATCTAACTCTCATCCTCGTGAATAGAACATGTGTTGTTCCTCAAGGTTGTGTTTTAGAACCTCTACTAATTCTCTCATCTTGACTAAGAACAAAGTTTAATTAGCAATGTCAATGCTGAGGTCTTTGCTGATATGGTTGATCACAGCCTTTTCAAGCATTAGATTAATTTTGGTAAGAAGTTAGACTGTCAAAAAAAACAAGAAAAGAAAGGTTTATGGTAAATGAGCTTACATCAAAATACTTATAGTATAAAAACAAAGGAACGGAACTATGCAGCAAAAAGTCAAGAAGTGATAATCTACGGTAGATAAAAAGGTTGGCACAATCACTAAGAAATTTTAAGAAAAGCTCCAGGTCTTGATACTGTATGTGGAAGTTGACAATCGGATTTGCCTGGGAGAGTGAAAGTAAGATAAAGGCAAAGTAATTACATTTTCTGTTTTTTTTTGTGATATGGTTATAAATATTAGTAACCAAATGCTTAAGAGTGCAAACAATAGATTGCTGCCAAAAAATCGCTTCTTCTTGAAAGGTTATGTTTAGGATTCATAGAAATATGCAATTCAACTATTGGGTTTGTTAGGTTCTCGATGTCCACTTAAATGAAAAATGATGCTGATGATATCTTCTTCATATAAGTTCAAGGGAATGTGTAATCATTCTTGGATCAAAAATCCCTGTCCTGCTAACACTCTTATTTTTTATATCTTTGGTATTTTGTCATGCGACATGGTATAACTGCCCGGGGTCAAGCAGGTGGCTCTTTCACTTATTCTATCTTTAGATAACAAAAATGCGCTGTTAGAGCCTTTCACAGCAACACTTTACACCCACTCTCTGCCTTATCTTTAAATTTTAGCTTATAAAGTTTTCTGTAATTTACAAAAGAGACTTATATGTAATGAAATGAATAATCTCTTTCCAACATTTCACTTTCTTGCTTTTTCAATTTATTTGGTCATGTATTTCTTGCTTTTTTTAAATCTAGTTTTTGTGCGAAACTCTGTGAGAGTTTCTTGCAATTTTCCTTCCAAGACTAAACCAAATAGATCATCTTTTGAGTTCCCGGTAAAGTCGGTTTCCAAAAAAGTCAAAAACTGTTCATAACATGGTCTTTATAATAGTAAATCTGTATTAATAAAGATTGCAGGTCTCTTTCGTTAGCTGATCTACGTAGAAAGCTCCTCCACATCAATCCTAAAACATCAATCCCCCTCCAGGGACACAGTGACACGAAGAGCAGGTCGTGCAAGCACCAGTCCCTTTTTTAGACATTTCGAAAAGTTTGTGTTAACTGGACTTGATTTATTGTATATTTCAAGTAGAAAAGGACTTTCGGAAAATTTGAAACAATCTGGCACCCTTAAACATCAATTCTACAACCTCCCTTTAGATTATCCTACCTTTGATGTACAGTTAAGTTCTTTGAAAATGACTTTGTAGAAAGCAAACACTTTATATCATATTGGCTAAAAGCTTTTTCGTCTGAAATTCCTCAGAGCTTAAAACGTCAGAATAAGGGTCCGAAAAAACACGATGAAAAAGAGCGTCAGACGAAAAAGTTTTTAGCCAATACGATATAAAATGTTTGTTTTTTTCAAAGATATTTTCAATGTCTGTACCACCAAAAGAATTTTACTTTCTTTGCTATATATTTTAATCATTTAGATTATTTACACTATTTTCATTCAGAAAGTTCTATCAATCATACAAACATACAAATAGAATGAAAAAACTAGTCAGATTAAAAAGTATTTTTTCTTTTGGTATAGTTTCCTTTGAATATAAGTACGAGCTGTTACTAAATCAACTACATTCTATATTATTAAGCATGATATTCTACATCCATGATTTATGTTATGCTTTTTAGTTACGTCATATGATATCACTAAGATCAAACAGAATTTTTTGCATCCCACATTTAAACGTAATTATTATGCTAGTTTTATTGCTAAGACAAAATTTAAAAGTCATTGCAAAGTTTAAATTGCATCGATTACAAGCTAAGTAAGTGGATAACAATTAAGAAACATACAATAGATATAAACAAATATTCTAATAAGCCCAATCTTGTAAATAAAGCTGCTACCCACTTTTCCCCAACTTTACTTGAATGTCAAGCAATTTTTGTAATTTCTGTCTAGATCTGCAGGATGGGTATTTCTTACTTCATTTTCGGCCGACAGCAGAATGAACACATGTTTCTACCTATCGTTTTTGACTGCTAATAGTCATCAAATAGCCCGTGAATTACGCGTGAGAAAGGCGCTTTCCGTGATGACAATCTCGGTTCTCCTACGAAGTGGTTATTATGTAACGCTGTATGTAACGTTATAGAACAGGCCTGTCCTTGATTCAAATTCACACGCGGTTTTGAGAGGCGTTGTCGGACGCGCCCACATTTGAATTTGCACGGTTGACTGATTTCATCATGAAACTTTGCCCTTGGTCTGTCTTACATACATTATTTTCTTGAATAGAAGCCACGTAGCAAAATAGCCTTTCAGAAAAGTTGCATTCTTTCGAAGGTTCTAAAATGGTCATTGATAAAAGGGGTATTTTCTAAAACTGGGAGGGCACACGCCTCTGGTGATTACGACGTTGGTAACGAGAGTAATAACCAAGAATAAAACTGACTAAGCTGCGATGATTTTGTTCATTCTAATTTTGGAAGGGACAATGCAAGGCTTCAAAACCAAAAAGCCGCATTATTTTTGAATAGAAATTGCTTTATTTTCTTGAATAGAAGCAGCCCTTGAACAAATTCAGCTCTCAAAAATATCATTCAAAAAGATAGAAAACTACAGCCTCTTTTCATGAAAACACAGTATTTAAGAACATAAATTTGCTTGTTATAAAATTCGTAAAAGAGGATTCTAAAGATTAAAGGCAGTGTGTTGCGCTGCTCTTTTGCTACTATTTGTGACAAACTGATATATTTGTCCAATAGCGGGTAAGGGACCTTCTTTGTTGTTCGTTCAAAAGAATGAAAACCACCTAAAATTGACGTTTTATTCTCTGTTCGGTAAACCAATGAACAGAATGATAAACTTGACGACAGACTGTCTTTAAATAGAGGTCTAACCGAAATTCTAACGGAAGTGAAATGTCACACGTTCTCAAACTGAGTGAAAACAGATGCATTGTAAGCTCAAAGAAGAAATCAAATTTCCGTACTCAAAAATTAAATGGTTTAAAAAACACAAAGGTTACATTATTGCGATCCACAAGTCACATTTCCATCTGATAGATTAAGTCTAATATCTTAAAAATCGTTTTATTTTTCGATGAAAGATATGCAAATACTGAATAATTTTTGAAAGAAATAAGTAACTATCAAAGATAGGAAAAGTTTATCATTGGAATTCCTCGATATATCATTATGATATAACAACTAACAAAAGTTCTGCAAAGGTATTTCCTTTATTGTTTTATTTATTTTTTCACTGTAGCCTCCCAGTTTTTACTTGACTTAGAGAAGCAAAATCTAGCACTTTCACCACTCTTCCCTCTGCATCGAAACATAAAGTATTTAAACTTGGATTAAAGTATTAGGAAAATTGCTGAGCCGCACCTGGTTGTGTTTGCAAAGCTCTTGCTCATGTAATAACAAAGTATATGTAGAGTCGGATTGTTAGGCTTCTCAGAGATTTTGTTTGCAAAGAATTTGAAAAAGATTCTCGTTAAATCAAATAGCTTTTGAATTCGCAACGCAAAGTAATATTCGCAAATGTCTTGAAGAAAAGCCGACTTAAACTCAAATAGTAAAACCATATTTTGGCTGTGCCATTCATTTGACTAAATATGCATTCCTAAGGCCAACACTTTCTGCATACCGAATTTTCAAAAGCAGTTGATGTTTTTACATAAAAACTCTTTTCAAACAGATTTTTACCGGGCTGTTTTTAAGTCTGCATTATAGAAACCATTAACTGTGATGTTAAGTGAAGAAAGAGATGAACTCAATAGGATCTGATAATTATCGTGAAATTACTATCTTTACGCTCGCAATGGCGGTCAGTGGTATAGTAGTATTCTCATTTTCAGGTTCTAGATCATCAGCAAATCTTAGAAATTACGCTTCTTTGCAACTCTTCTTGTCTCCTTTTGGTTGCTTTAGCTTCATCAAATATCTCAAGTAAAAGAGTTTCAGCTCTACCGAACATACAAAAACCATTGTAAATAAAATTAACTAGCTTTAAACAACTTGAAATAGCATTGAAGTAAGCAGAGCATATCAAGAAAATTATATGGCTTTCACTGGTGCTTTTTGGTGACCCAAGGCAAGAGAAAGTTTAGGTTTGCAGAGAAACTGTAAATCAATTTTACTTTATAAGTATCTCAGTATTGAGTAATAGATGGCGCATTAGGGAACGTCACTCAAAGGAGGTGTATTCGACTATGCTTCAATCATTCAATCTAGGTTATTGCTCAGAAATCCTCCTGAGTGCCTTTAACCCCAGCAGTGTATTTAAATGCTATGTTGATGATTCGATAACAAAGCGAAAATTTGATGAGCCTGGCTCGACTTTTCACTTTGTAGCGAACCAAAAATTTCATTCAAAATCCAAATTATACCATTGACGAAGTGCTGTGTTTATTGCTAGACTCTTAAAGTGGCGTAGCTTAAGAAGTTATTTTTCATATGGGCTGGATTTAAATATAGTAGCAAAAGGTGGCGTTTGATCCAACACGTGCCAGTAATCTTGTAAAATGTGCTTGTTTTTGGCGAATTGCCTGTCAGTGATTACAAACGTATAACGATTTATCATTTAAATCTAGCATAACAGATACCCGTTGCTTTTATAAAGAAAGTTAAATTTTCTCTTTTTATTGAATTATGAGTTTCAAACTTTGGTTATGTTGCTCCACCAACAAATTACCAAGCAGTGGCTGATATACATTCAAAAATGGCATTACAAATACCTTGTTTCACTGGAAATAAGAGTGGAAGAGTATAATTGGAATTCAAACCGGAACGACCAATAATTATTTGGTGATGAAAAGGAAAGGAGCAAAATATATATATATAAACATAAAAAGGAGCATTTTTAGACATCTAAGTTGCAAGCAGCGGCATGACCGCAAGATAACTTAGATTTTGGCAAGTTCCTTTATTTGATCTTGGTTTACTGCCTTATTCGCAATGGAATAACTAAATTCAAAAATTTGTAGATTTTCTAGTACACTTTCTATAAAACACCAAAATGTGACGGCAGTGAATTGGTAAACAGCGTTTTCTAAAGATTCTACACTATAGCTGCCTTTTGCAAGAATAGAGGATAAACATGGTCCTCGTATTATCTTGCGGTCTATGGTTGAAGAGCTTTAAGTAAACCAGTTACATGGTTGGTCTCCATCTAAATCTACCATTCAAATTCACAGCCAGATATCAACAAGATTGCTTCAAAAATTTATCCTTGCCTATTCAGAAATTTGCAAGATAAGAAACCTTGAAAAAAATAGCATCAAAACCGTTTGGATGCTCTGAAACACCCTTTAGAATCTATTGATGAATTTTTTCGTTAAATTCCTAGCAAGGATACAATCAGTTTTCAGTGGAGTGTTATTTCGAATCGCCATATGAGGCCGTGTTGCTTTTTAATTTTCTTTTGAGAAGATAGGATCATTGGATATTGAATAAGGAATAAAGTTTTTTCATTATCGATCCATGTTATGTAAACAGAGGAGTTTGCAATCCTATGTCTGTCAACCTGTCAAAAGTATTTGTTGGGTTATGGTAAACACGAGCAAGATGCTTGCCAAATTGCTGTCAATACATGGCATTGAAATTTGTGTTTATGTAAGGTTAGGCTGAGTCCAAAAGCTTTTTTTTATAACATAATTTTCACTTTGCTATAAAAAACCCAAGCCATATAATTAGCTTCACAAATGTGTATCCGGTTAATGATACCTTGCCTTTCACAACCAGAGGCAAGTGGCTACAGTCAACCTAAATCAGTTGAGCAAAAGCTCTTATCTTGATTCCATAATAACGATGCTCCTGAATTTTCCTTGCAGTATGCAAATATATCTATTTCTTTACTATAACCATGGTCACGTTGCTGTAGATGCATGATAAAGTCGCATAAATTAAAACTTAAAATTTTTTACATTGATGACCTTTTTCCACATCGGTTGCCTTAAGCTGTTCAATATTTGGTTAACATACTAGAAATTTACAAATCAATTGCGTTTTTGGACCGTTGTATTTCTTTGATTACTATCAATCCTCAATCATAAGAGGTTAGTCGCATAAGATATTTTTAATGTCACTATCTTGCTAGCATCTTCGCTTCTGTATCAGAACAAATTGTACGATGCTAACATTGACAACGGTCTTCAAGCGTCTTCATCTCAATCTTTTAAAATTATCCGATATTGTTTTTGTCGAACACAACACGCTTATGTTTTACTTTCTGGATTTTTTAAGAGGATGATGTAAATAATGGCTTTACTTCTGCCTAAATCGACAAAAGCAATTCAATCGGTTGTCAAATTTAGTGAGTTGATAGATTTTTTATTTTCAATATTATATTATCTGGCCGGATTTTGACCCAGTGGCGCCTGTCAGGAAATTAGTAAAATCTCTTCTTTTCAGCAAAAATTCAAGGCAATTATAGTCAAATAGATTTTTCCTTTCTTTGCGCACATGCTCATTCATTGACAGCTCCGCAAAACTTTGTTTGAGGTTCATCTCAATCGCTAACATGTGTTTCTTTACATTTGACGATAGCTTTAGGCCTCTTTTTCTTTCCATTGAATAATAACAAAGAACTGAATGCTTGAAAAGAGAACGTCAACATTGGTTTACTTGTACTTACCGATTGTTGTGATTACCGTTGCAGTAAAAAAGAGTGAGCCCATGAACCCCCACCGTTCGTAGTCAACATCATAAAAGCCTTCCTCCAAAGCTTCTTTGACCTCGAAAATGAATCGATTTAACTCAGATTCGTTTATTCCGTACGAAGTTTTCATGTAATACTTGACATCTTCAAACCTTTGTCTTTCTTTAACTACTTGCTTTGATTCCAAAGCTTGGAACACTGCAGACCCCGCTAGCAAATACACAACAAACAATGTTGTACGTAGTAAGAGGTTTCTTGTTGGGCCTTGCAACGCATGGAGCCAATTCAAGAAGAAGACCCCCATGGCCTACGAACTCAACTCATACATCAGTTAACAGTTTCATTTAAACATGCCACCACAAGTTTCGAAGACGAGAGTTCGTAAAGCGTGATTCCGCTTCTTCAAATACTGTGTGTTTTTCGTCCAGCATGTACAAAGACTGAAGTGTTTTGTTCTGCGTTAAATATTTATAAGGAGATATGAGGAGAGAGCCAGCTGCTTTCTTCAACGCTCGAGAGAGATAAACTCAACGAAAAACCACCAATATCCGCGGCCGCAACTGTGAATGGTATTTCTTCTATATAAGCTTTCATACAGCGTGTTTGCATGCGTTTATCTCTTTGGCCTAAAAATTACAACGCCGAACAGGTTACCTCTCAGTGTATGTTGCCAGTAGCAACTTGAGAATTCCAGCAAAGTAAGGCGTTTAGTGACAGCTCTGATAGTTTTAAGCAATTTCCCAGCCTTTTCTAGGTTGTATTGACGTGTGTGACCTTATCCTGGCAGGTTTTTCAGTTTCATTGCTTGATCGCCTATGCAAATCAAGTCTTAAGATTGATAGGATATCTAATGGAATTAATTTATTTTGTACACTCTAATTTTAAACAGTAATTTGAATTTATTTTACATATTTAGTATGTTAGTTTTTTGATTATATTCACCTTTTCTTTGCACGATTTTGATTACATTTACAAACTTATACATTTTGTTAATGTTTTTAACCTTTTACTTCATATTTTCTAGTAACTCTAGGAAAGGGGGTTGTGTATGCCAATATTGATAATTTTACAGATATGCTATTCGAAGGTCAAATACAGTAAATATAGAAATGCTGTTTTCAGCCTCATATTCCTAAAAGTAAAATCTGAAGAATAATTTTGAGCCCTATATTGTTCACACTTCCAAATGATTTGAGCTCTTCTTCTTCGTTTATCGCCTAAGGTATTTTGAACCAATCAATACCATCCTCTCCATTTGCATACAATGAAGCAGACTTTGCCCTTAAACTTGCATAATATGCATTCATGTATTCTCTTCATGTTATTGCCTCCTAGTAGCTTAAAAATTGCTCATAAATTTCTATGCCAATGTGTTTACTTTACCATCTTTTGATCGAAATGCTTGAAACTTCCTTTAGTTAAAACTTATAAGAATTCTCTTGAATTTTCAAAACATTTGCAACCTGCAATTCTGGCTACAGCTGTTTATACAAATATCTATACATATGCTTGGTACCATGCATACCATGTATATAGTCCACCGTCTTATCCGATCCAACCCCCA